GTGGGTACACAGCCTGGAGCCTGAGTGCCACCCCCGCCACAGGCCCCTGCTGCTGTCCTGTGCCCAGTGTGCTTGGCACCCCCGTGGGCTGGGGCAGGAACCCTGGGGGGGCAGTAGTCCTGACCCTGCCCGCTGGAGGCTCCTACTTCTGGGGTGCACGCAGCAAGGTTGGGGCTCCCTGGGCCACCTTGCCAGGGCATGGAGATGGGAGTCCCATTACCGGGGCCTCATCTCAGCGGCGTGGCCCCCACCGGCGGCTGATTTAGTGCTGTGTGCTGCTCTGATTTACATTAGATTTTAGGCATAATTAGGAATGCAGGGGATCTTTGTGTCTCACCTCGCCCGACTATTTATGGCGTGGTACACAGATGAGGAGAGCTATGAATATTAAAGACGGGTGTGCAGGAAGCGTGTGTAATGAGCGGGTGACCCACAGCACAGCATGAGCCAGGCACCCTGAGGCCGAGACAGCTCTCGGACCCCAGCCCAGCCCAGGTGGTATGGGTCCAGGCCCGGCCACCTGGGTGCACAGGAAGGAGGTGGGGTAAGCTGGCTGCCCGCCCTGCGCTGCCCAGTGTCCCAGCCAAGGAGGGTGCAGGGGCGTGGCGTGCGGGGCTGGCGCTGGCTTTTTAAGTTATTAAACTGTGCCTGAGGGAGACACTCTCCAAGCTGCGTTATTTAAATTACAAATATGGGTTGAGTGAGATTGTCAGCTCTTCTCAGTCTTCAAAAACCTTCTCGAAGGATGTGTGCTTGGTGGGTCTGAGGTGGGGTGGGGGCTGTAGGGCACCCTGGCCTGACACCCTCCCTGCTCTCAGCCAGCACTGTAAGGGGCCCAGCCTGGCTTCCGGGCAGCTGGTGTCCACAGGTGCCACCTGCTCGAGGTTTCCCTGGAATGAGGGTGAGGGCTGCCTGAGGCACAGGGCAACTGTGGGTGGGGACCCTGCACACTTGGGCTGGAGGGCCTAGCTGCGGGGTGGGGATCCTGCTGCCCTCCCTTAGCTGGCACTGTCCTCTCTGAGAACCTAGAGGGGGACTGATAGGCAGATGTTTGAATTTGTAAATCCTGGCATGCTGCCCTCTCTTTCTGGAAAAAAAAAAAAAAGAAGAAAAGAAAGCTTCCAGGCAAACATTTGTCAGTGCAGTGAAAGCCGACTTTATGGCCACTGCTGTCCAGGCTTGTGGCTGGGTGGAGCTGCCCAGGGGCCTGTGGGGTGCATGGGATGGGGTGTGCCCCACCTGCGGCCTCCTTAGCAGTTTGAGGGGCTGGGCAGGCGGAAATGGTGACAGGGGTGGCCTTCGCTCCCCCAAGTGCAGGGACTGAGGAGGCTGCAGCTGGGCTCCTCCTGGGCTTTGGACGCCCAGGTGGGGTCCATCCAGCCTGGCAGGGATTTGATGGGGGCACCTTGGGGTCCAGAGCAGGAAGCCAAGGAGGGTGACAGTCAGCTACCCGGGCCCAGCGGCTCCTGGCTCTAAGGCCTCGTTGGGCCCTGCCCTCCTCTGCCTCAGTTTCCACATACACACCCTCAGAGGGGTTGGGGACCAAACAGCCCGTGCAGTTACTGAGTTGTCTGGGGCCTCTGGGGAGGGTGTAGCAGCTGAGACCCCAGCCCGTGGCCCCTGCCCCCTGCCTGCTGCCCATGTCCTGTTGGAGGCCAGTGTGGCCTAGCTCCACCCATGGCCAGTGGCTTATACTGTTAGGAAAACTTGGAGGCCTGACTGAGTGCCTGCCCACCTCTGGGGGACCAGTGCCCACCAGGCCCACAGCCTGGACTCTGGAAGGTTAATGTGGGCCCTGCTAGTCCCTGCCATCCACTCTGTCTGGGGGAGGCTGCTGTGACATGGGAGGGGACCCAAAAGACACCCCCAGCCCCTGCCCAGCAGGAAGCGCTCACTTGAGCAGGGTTCCGGGGCCCCACCCGCTCCTCGGTCCTGCCGATTGGGGAGCAGTGTGCCAGAACCTGGGGTGATGCCACCTTGACCTCTGAGTGTCCACTGCCTGGAGGGCTGGGGGCTCCCCTCTCTGCATAACATTTCCAGTACCAAGGCAGCCCTCCCTCTCAGTTGTGCTGCCTGCGCTTTAGCCGAGGTCCAGAACCTCTAATTAGATTGGTGAAATTAAATCCTGCAAAATAATTTAATCTAATTTAATCTCTCTCGCCTTCCTCTCCCTCGCTGGCAGCGATCCTGCAGAGGCTGAAGGAGCATCACTCCAGTTCCATGCCCTGGCATGCAGGGTGGGTTGGCCTCTGGGGAGGGCAGGTGGGTTTCTGAGGACCTGGGCACCAGAGCCACTGAGCTAGGCCTCCATGTCTGTGTCCTTGTTCGAACCCTGCCTGGGGACTCAGCCCAGCAGGCATCCCTGCTATTGGCCCTGCCCTGGCCCACTCCCAGCCTGGGCTTTGCTTCTGTGTGTTTCTGTATGGGGTGAGGGAACCTTAAGGCTGACACCTCAGTGGGGTCTGAACTTGGGATTGGAGTTGTTTTCATGGGTTTCGGGACTTCATGAGGGGGGTTCCTCCGTGCAGCACCTTTGATGATGATAGGGATGAGCAGAGTTCTCACTCCCCAGCTCTCCAGAAACTTCACGAAGGGGACAGAATATGCGGTCCTGCTTGGGAATCAAGGAGCCGAGGAAACTGAGTCACAGCAGAGAGAGGGTCGTACATGGAGTAGAGCTGAATGCCACCATGCAGGGAGTGGTGAGGGGCCTTCAAGTCCCTGAAGCCCTCAGCCTGTCTCAAATCCGCAGCCCCCTCCTGGCTGCAACACCACTGCACTCCTGTGCGCCCTGCTTTCCTGGCCTGAGCAGTGCCAGCTAAGCCTGCTCGATTCTTTTCTCCTAAAGTTCAGCTTTGTTCTTGCCCCGCTGAGGCTTCTAAGAAAGCAACCTAAAACCAGCTCCCGTCTGGCCCGCAGTGGCCAGAGCAGGCAGTGTCTCTGCCAGCCCAGGTGGCCTGAGGACAGCGCTGCAGAGGCGCCAGTTCCCTGAGTCCCCGGGGAGCCGGGCAGCCTTGTCACCTCCCAGGCATAATGGCGCTGTCTCTGAGGAGCAGGGCCCAGGTCCCTGAGGTGTGAACACAGACCCTGCCTCTCCGGGTCATGGCAGGTCATGGCCTGCCACCCCACGCTCATTCTGTGCTCAGCCATTGTCCCACGGCCGCAGGGATCTTGTGCATCTTCCTGGTGACCTGACCACTGGCTGCCTGGCCCTGGGCAGCTGCCACCCTTCGCTGGCCCTTGCCTAGCATGCTGAGCTGGGTCCCTTGCATACAGGGGAACCCGCATCGCCACCTTGGGCTGAGGTTGCCCCCCACAGGGCTAGCGGCTCTGCTGGCAGGTGACATGTGCAGGCTTTGGGGTCCCTCTCCCTGTGTGGCGTCACTGGGCAGCACAGAGTTCTCCCAGGGTCCCCAGCACCTAGTCCTTCGCCCGCCTGCCCTGGGGTGCCTGGCCCTGAGGCTGAGCAGGGACCTGGGGTGGAGGCTGTGGCCAGGCTTAGCTGAAGCCCCCACTCAAGGCTGAGCCTCGGCTACTCCTGTATGCTTAGCCTCCGTACCCCTAAATTACTCGTGAGCGTCCTTGCTTTGGAAGGCAGAGACAGGCGCTAGGGACCTCCGTGCTGGGCCACAGGCGGCTTCTACACCCATTGGCCTCAGTCTGGCTGGGAGCAGAGCTGTGTTCTTTCTGGGGGTCACATGTGGTGGCAGACGGGGAAACTGAGGCAAGGCCATCGGGCAGTTCACCCAGGGCCCTCACAGCCCAGCGCAGACCCCACACTGCTGCTGTCTCCTCCCTAAAGAGGCTCCATGGGGTTGGATCTGGGTGACGGTGGGAGCCCCCTGGGCATGGGCACTGCAGTATTTCATCACAGAGAAGGTGCTGTGCTGGGGAATGGCCAGTCCAGGCCAGGTGTCCCCGAGGACACGGGGGACACGTGGGCATCCGTCCTCGGGGGACCAGCGCTGCATTGCCAAGTTGCACCAGTGGGGATGGGCGATTCTGGGGCTGGACCTGCTGGCCTGCTGCTGGCACCCGTGGCTGAGACCGCAGGGGACCGTCTGTGCCCCTCCCCCCTTCTTGCCTGCCGTGGCAGCAGGCACGATTCTTTCTCACCCAGCTGTGCCCCCGTCCCTCAGGGTTCCCCAGCCTCCCGAACCCCTGGAAGAGTTGAGCCAAGGCTGCCAGCCGTGCAGACTGTTTGGAATAGTTTAAATGCTTTGACACCGGGCTGCACTGGGTGGCGGGCGGCAGTTTACTGGGTAATTCATATGCAAAACTGCACTATAAATTTCCAGGCTGTCGGAGTTGCCGTGGCACCGCGAAGCGTTCCCGCGTACAGTACAGTATTTCTGCCATCTTTGTTTGCATTGCAGTGAGTCATCAAAAGTCTGTCTTGCACCGACACCCGGAGCCGCGCATTCCTCTGGCACCAACGCGCCACTGTTTTTAAAGCCGGGGCTGGGAGCTGGCATTTACTTCAGCTCCCAAATCAAAGGCGGCTATTCTTCCCTGAGCTGCCTGAGTGTTTGTCCGCATCCGGCCGCCTCATTGGGATGCTGCGCGCTGCCCGGGAGAGCCGGCCTGGGTGCAGCTGAGCTGC